GAATCCTTAACCCTCACCATTCCGGAAGCTACCGCCCCAAACCTCAAAGCCTAGGTGTATGTATGTATGTCTGTCTGTCTGTCTGCCTGTCTGTATGTATGTATGTATGCATGCACGTATGTACGTATGTATATATGCATGTTTGCATGCATGCATGCATGCATGCATGCATGCATGCATGCATGCATGGATGTATGTATGTATGTATGTGTTCACCATGCATTCATGCATGGATTGATGGATGTGTATATGCATGCATGGATGGATGGATGTATGTATGTATGTGTTTATGTATGTATGCATGCATGCATGCATGCATGGATGGATGCATGTATGTATGTATGTTTATTTGCATGTATGCATGTATGTATGTATGCATGCATGTATGTATGTATGTATGTATGTATGTATGTGTGTATATGTGTGTGTGTACGTGTACATATACATATATATATATACATATCTATATATAGAGAGAGAGAGAGAAATGAGAATTGTTGCCATATGAATGTAGCTACGTCTGTACATATATGCAGATATAAGGATATATTCATATGTATATAGCTGTGTGTATGTCTATTTATAGTATATGTGTATGAGTATGCATATGTACATGTATATCAATGTATATGTGTATTTGCATGTATGTATGTAATGTAATGTAATGTAATGTAATGTAATGTAATATAATGTAAGGTAAGGTAAGGTAAGGTAAGGTAACGTAAGGTAAGGTAAGGTAAGGTAGGCAGGTAGGTAGGTAGGTAGGTAGGTATACATGTATACATGTATGTATGCATGCATGTATGTGTGTGTACGTATATTCTCCAGCCGGCCAAAGAAGTGTAACGGACATGTCTGTTCTCTTTGACACTCGACATGGCCAGCGCTGTGAACAATCAGGACGCCCTAAATGGCCCTAAATCAAGGACTTGCTGCCTGAGCAAGGCCGCCATTTCACGTGCCAACGCCCAAAAGTACCCGAGCTCAGCCATGGACCTTGCAAAAGCCCACGGCTCATGGTGATGCGAGCCGTCACAGACTCGTTGCAAGCACAGAAAAGCCGGTACTGTGTGCACCAGAAGAGTTGCCTTGCGGCGCTGATGCCCAAATGCACTGATGCAAAGAAGTGGTGACCATTGCTGATTTGTCGCTGCGAAGCTTGTCTGTGCACGGGACGGTCTGACCACTTAGAGCCTTAAAAATACAAGAATACTTGTGCTCCGCATTGTGATGGCACAAGAGCTTCAATGGTTCGACCCTCGGGCTCGAGTGCTTTCCCAGAGTGTGGAGTGATGCCGCGCCTGATTTCGCATGGAATCCTGGTCCTATCGCTGTCTCACACGTCATACTCGTCGCCCTCGCTCTGTTGGAGCCGGCCGGACTGCGTCGACCGCCTCGAAAGCCACCCGAAGGATGCCAGGGCTTGGGGCGAGCTGGGCTTCTACGGAGGGGGGGTCGTCGGCTCCCGGCATTTCTCTCCCAAGGACTGCGAACTTCGAGCCCTGGAGCTGGACCCCAGCATCGCCGCCTTCTGGTACAACTTGGGGGTCATCGGAGGCGGCCGAACAGAGGGGAGGTGGTATTCCGAAAAGGCCTGCTTTCAGAGGGCCCTGGGCCTAGATCCGAAGGACGCCAACGCCTGGGACGAGCTAGGAGCCTATAGGGGGCTGGGTAGGTGGCCTTTAACCTTTTTTGGGGGTTTAAGGTAACCGTATACTATAATGGGAACCCAAAACCCTAAACCCATTTTGGGGTTTAATGTAATCCTACTATAATGATTGCAACTCCTTTTCTTTCCGTTTGTAGGGTGATGCTGCGCTGTGTTCCCGCTGTCCGACTGGGAACCGAGAGACCTCACCTGGCTTCTCCGAGTTGCGAGCGTAACCCCGAAACCCTAAACCCTAGCCGATTTGGGGCAGGAGGCAAAAAAAACCCACGATTTAGGCTTCGGGTACTCCGCCCTTAAAGGAGCTGTGGGAGGTGGCCGAGTGAAGGGGAGGGAACACAGCCCAAGAAACTGCTTCGAAAAGGCCCTGATGCTGGATCCTTGGCGGCTGAACTGGTATAGGGCCTAGGGTTTAGGGTTTAGGGTTTATTTAGGGTTTAGGGTTTAGGGGTATACTTTACATGTTTGGGGGCATACTCGTAGACTCTGTGCTTCTGGGGATCATAGTATGCTTTACACTTTTGGGGTTTCTGCGATCCCCTACAGAAGTGAGAGGAAAAACAAAAATTTGGGGACTGATGAGTTCGGCAACGAAGGATCCGCATCATGCGGGGGCCTGGTACAACTTGGGTCTTCGGGGTGGTGGCCTGGTAGCAGGACTGGGATACAGCACCCCGGAGCAATGCTACGCCAAAGCCGGCAAGGGTCGTGATAGGAAGCTGGAGATGGATCTTGCTAGCCTACCCGACTCTGTGACTAGGTGGCAATTTGGGAAACTTTAAAATTTCCCTTATGGTTTCTAAAGAGGTACCTATTCATAAATACTTTTCAGGGCCCCAAAACTACAACCCAGGTGAAGAAAGAAGACTTCCGGAATGTGGCCTTAGAGCTCCTGGTAGGGAACTTGAACCTCGACTTCCGGGAGCAGATGACGGAGCTCTTCCATCTTTGCCACCCGGCCTCTGCCGAATGTCTGGAGAACGGCAAGGCACAGTCTGTTTATTGGCATGGAGAGTTGGCCAGGAAGCTGTCTGAAGCACCTTCCATGGTGTCGGCCATCGTTCTTCAGGGTGTGATATTGGAGCTCCAGAAGCCCCAGAATAGCAACACATCCTTCAGCAGCGGCTTGCTGAGACAGGCCGTCTGCATGGCCCAGGCGCGCTGGGCAAGGAGTGAACGGCGCCTTGCTACCGACAAGGCAGGATCCCCTGGCAGCCAAACCCCCCTTCCTTTGGAGGGATCCCCTCGGTTGAACTTCAGATGGGGGAGAGAGAGAGAGAGAGAGAAACCACAACAGAAATAGAATCATAACAACAGGTAAATAGCGGAAAAAACAGTTGATAGATGGAAGAATTGAAGATACCAGTGTACACACACATTCGTCAAGCAAAATAAACAGTTCGGAACTGGCTGTTCTGCCACAGCATGCCCTGGCCTTTCCCGAGTTGTGACCGGCCGTCGTCCTATGTGACCCTGGCAGGCTCCACATGCCTTTGACGACCCTTGTGATGAGACCGCGCCGACACGCCTCTGGAGCATGGAGCCTGCGGTGAACCGTGGGGAAGGCTGCCGCAGTGGGATCGAGCTAAGCAGACACGCGCGCCCGCGCACGCACACACACACACACATACGCAAGGAGCAAACAAAACACATGGAAAAGACACTCTAGCTTTTTTCTCCCTCCCACCTATCTCTTTGCGCCTGTCTATATCTCAGTATTCCTCGCTTTCTCCTCTTGGTTTATCTGTCTGGACTGTCTGGATCCCTACCGTACATGCACGGCCATGCTCACGAGTTCGAGGCATGAATTTGGTTGCTGTTCGTTGGATGCATCTGCTCTGAGAGGACACAGGATGGGGTGTGCTCTCGCCGCCGGCACCATGCTGGCAGCATCCGTCTCTCTGATCTTCATTCTTCGCACGAGGACCCACGACAGTTGCTGTCCTCCTCGTTGTCGTGTTGGGGCCTGTTGCCCGGGTACGAAATGCCTTGATGGCACTTGCATATTTGACATTTTTGTCATGGCGGTGGTGCAGCATCAGCAGTCGCCGTATGTCGCCGTCGTCGTAGTCGTCAGTGTGCTTGTCGTAGTAGAACTTCGTAGATGCACATCATAGTCATATGTAGTCATAGTCCGGGTAGTGGTACATCGTGCTAGAGGTCGCTGCTGCTGGCACGCCTGCGGCGTGATGCTAACACATGAAAAGTTAATGGTGGTGGTGACGATGAGGAAGGCAGTCTTGTTTGGAATATTGTAAACTCTACGTTATGAGAAGTAATACTGTGATTACTGAGTTACTGAGCCCCCGAGTCTCCCCCGTCGCAGACCGAAGTTGGAGAGCTACCAGCGCCTGCCGCAGACAGACTGGGAATTCCTAGATACAGAAGGTGCTGGGGCCGGGATAGGGTGAGGGGTGTGGTTTTGGGCTTGTTGAAGGGACTTCCATCACGTCTTTGTGCGGCAGAAGCGTAGTGCTTCCGAAAACCCACATGTTACAAGCAGCTCATCAGCACTTGGCTTGCACAGGTGGGGCGCGAGCAGGTGCAGTGCAGGAGGTCTTGGAATTACAGGATCATCATCTACTGACTCCGCTGCAGCGATTTCAAACATGCCAGTGCTTCCCTGGACTGTGACGTCTCAATAGTCGGCAAGGCCCAATGTGGCCAGCAAGGCGAGTGAGGAAAGTTCGTGCCACTGGCGTGGGGCGTAAGGGTTCAGCCCACCGCGATCTTGTGGCGAAGGTTTCCGGAGCATGATGGAGCATGCCACTTCGGAGAGAGGTTGGGTATGGTGGGAGTGCTGTTGGGCACTGGTGCTACCATGTCAAATCTCTTGGCTTTGTTCTTGCTCGGCTGCGTTGTGAAGTGGTGAAGGAATGAAATTAAGCTTAGGCTGACGGTGTAGGGTTTCTAGGGCCTTTTCAGCGCAGGGGCAGTTTTTTTCGAAGGCTCACTCAGGCCTCGTGTGCTGTCATGACAGTTCCTGCCAGCTCCATGCTCTCAGCCCTAAGCTGTAATTCCGAAGAGCCAGAGGAAAGCCATTGACAAACAGAAACACCCAGGCAAAAGACAGCAACAATCCCAAACCGAAACCGGCCACGTGAGAGGGAAAAAACACCATAAAGCCCAACTTTGAGCGAACACAAACAACCGTTGGCTTCTGCACAAGAGAGGCGTGGAGCCCGACGGTATTTGCATTGAAATTTTTTGAAAAAACCACTACGCTTGCTATGCTAATTCATTGTTGGTCTGTGTTTGTTCAGTTAACCACTTGATCAGCGATTTGTGCCATGATCTGATGGTGGTGATGATGAGACATATGTTTGTGCTATGATGGTGATTAGGGTTATGCTCCGATGAGTGAAAAAGTGGTGGCTTTAGATATGGACTCTCCGGAAGCGCTTTGCTGTGCTTGCAACGCATCCTCCCAGAGAGCCCCACCCACCAACGTGAGCTTGTTTCGAAATCCGCAAGAAGAGTGGCTCAAGTCACGAGAACCGTCCCAAAAGCACGGGACTTCATCTTCAATGGGCATCATGAGCCAGCCATGGTTATCGTTGGCCATGGGATGTTTGTTTCAGCTCCTAGCTGTTGCAGAGTCCTCGCCTCTCGACCAGTTTGCCATCGACATGTTCTTCCCCATCCAGAAAGCAGCTGAAGCTGCGGAGAAGGCGAAGCGCACGTCGCTGAGCTCCTTCGAAGCATCTTCCGAGGAGCCGGAGAGGCCCAAGGTCCCTCGCAGGTTTGGTGCGACCATGGCTGTCGTCACCACAAGTGTCGGCGTTCCTGCAGCGGCTACTTCGCACACGATGTGGACTTGAAGGCCAGTCGGATGGAAATCGTGGCACCCTATCTGCTCCCGCAAGTAACCACCAACATGACAACCTTGAGCGTTGGAAACGATACCTGGATTGAGACGGGGGGCAGCCAGCATAGCCAGGCGAACTGTCGTTCCATACCCATGTTTGGGCCACAAGGCTTCCATGACATGTTCTCCTGGGCTTCAGATCCGGCAGTCTCCGAGTATGTCGGTCAAAGGTCGGTGGCCGGACGCAGCTGCACGCAGTGGCGATTGCGGGCTTCAAGCTCTATCATCAACGAGACTTTGTGTGCAGACGGAGACATCCCGGTTGAGCTGAACATCTCCATGAAGAGCAGCGCGGGAGGTGTGACGAAGGAGACGCACGCAAGCTATCAGTTTGATCCCTTGAGCACTGAAGTTGATTCGAGCCTCCTGGAGAAGCCTTACATTTGTGACCATGTGGCCCCTCCCTGTGAAAACGGGCGTGGGGTGGGCCCTCTGACTCTGGATGCCTATGTGTTTCATCCGGGCCTGTCAGCCATTGACTCTTTCCAGCGGAGTATTTCACCTTTAACCTTGTTTGGGCAGACAAAATCCTACTGTGATAAAGGAGGTTCAATTTTTGGGGGCTAGGGTACTTACTCAGCCGCTCAGGATTATAGCATCGAGGATCAGAACGTGGCCGACTTGCGTGGTGATGCTCTCTTCATTTGTTTCTGGGTTCTTGTTATACGATTTTTAAGATACCGTAAGAAGGAAGCCATATCAACGTTGTATTTACCATAGATCCTTACTCTGGTATAATGCAAAAAGCCTGAATCCCAAACCCATTACTCTGGCAACTTAAATTGCTTTCTCGGACTGTAGATCCGTATTCTGACCCTAAACCCTAAACTCTGAACCCTGCCCGCTGAACCCTAAACCCTGAAGCTCCTTAGACGAAGAGCCCAGGCTTCGATCTCTTGTCGAACCAAAGCTCGTTTGCAGACCACAACTACTCGTTGATCCTGGGCGTTCTTCAGGTTTTATGATAGGGCTTATAGGGTTTAGGGGTTTAGGGCCTAGGATTTTGGTGTTTTGGATTTTGTTTGTGTGTATGAGACAGAACCCACCCGTCGCGGGTAGCTTGCAAAATCAGACATGCCAATGTGCGTGTCCAGTTGTCCTGTCCAGTTTTCAACATGAAGAACTGCAGATGGTGAGCCTTCATCGGACCCTACCCCCTTAACCCTTTTCCACCCCGAGGCACTATACTAACTCCTTTGGCAACACTAAGCCAAAAACCCTTAATGGTATCCCTATTGGCAACCCTGTTCGCAACTAAATGGCAACCCTTACAGTCACCATGCTTTACACTACCGGCAACCCAGCCCAATTCAGACCCTAAACCCTACCCCCTTCTGGTAACCCACGGTTTTAACTACCGGTGAAAACCCTAAGCCCCAAAAGCCCTAAACCCTAGCCCAAAAACGCAAACCCAACCTCACAGCAGTCTTCTACATAACACTGGTAAAGTAAGCTCCCTACAACACGCTAAACCCAGCCCAAAAACCCCAATCCCCTAAGCCCAAGGATCTCAACCCCAAACCGAGACCTGCGGGGGATGAAGGAGAAACATGTCCCCTCAAAACAAGCAACCCTAAACCCTAACCCCATAAAACCATAAACCCTAAACCCTAAACCCTAAACCCTAACCCTAACCCTAACCCTAAAAAACACCTAAACCCTACACCCCTGGCTCTACGGAGCCCCAGGATCTCCCGCTACTCCCTGCAGCTCTCCCCGGCCTTCGGCCAGTATGCGGCTTGCAATGGCTACCCGGACACCAAGCCCAAGGGCCCGGTGTGTCTTGGCCGCCTACTCTTCGGGTAAGTTATATCAAAAATATATATATATATATATGTATGTGTGTATAGATATATATAGGTATGTATGTACTTATGTAATGTAATGTAGTGTAATGTAATGTAGTACTGTAATGTAATGTAATGTAATGTAATGTATACATACATACATACATACATACATACATACACAAGGGGTTTAGGGGTGAGGATGGGGAGGTCTAGACTGTTTAGAGCTTAGGGTTCGAGAGTGAAGTCTGACAGCTTTGGATGTGAGGCGTCCTGGTTGTTTATTTGCCTCGATGTGGCATTGGTACGTGGTTGCTAGTTCGGCTCGGAGAGTTGCCATGTCCACAGTCCTAAGCAGACCGTGTGACGAAAAACACAATCCCTAGGCTGGTTCAGCTGTGATGAAAAGTTGATGAGAAGCCCCGCAAGACCTGCATGCACTCCAGGTGCATTGGCGGTGATACGCGATTAGCTGGCAAGGAAGCGCCCTTCTTCGGGGGCGAGGGTGAGAGCAGGTGCGCCGACGAGAGCCCTTTGGGCTTCTGGTACAGCTTACCCAAGGCGGGTCACTGTCCCCCGGGGCAGGCGCCTTCGACAACAGCGTCGGAGTCAGGATGCACATGGTCCATCATCAAGCGTGCAAAGACCATCCATCAGACTTGCTTGATCAAGGACCATAATTTCCTAGCAAGCTGCAAAGCAGACTTTGCGCAGAAGGACTTTGCAAGAAGTTCGGCTGCCTTGTCAGCTGCTTTCGAGTCGGAGGACTTCTCCAAGGGTGGTTGTCCCGACATTGGCGGACCTGACAGCAAGGAAGACGTGGCGTCTTTTGTGGTGTAGCCACAGTGCCAGGCACTGATTCTCCCAATGTTTCCAAGCATTCGAAGTCGGGGCTGCAGACACCAGATTGCAACAGCTCAGGTAAAGTGTTTCAGGGGAGAGTAATTTCGACAGCCTTAGAGACCTGGCCATGTAGACACTACAAACAGGCTTGGGGACACACACTGATGCAAGTAGCCCTGCTTGCACAGTAGCGCACCGGTAAAGAATCTTCGTGCTGACCACGTGGCAAGCAGCTGGTGAACAGACTGTGGCGAGTCGGTTGCGCTGATGCTTGGAAAGAAAGTGTACTCTATATATGTAGTTCGCAGTGGGTTTTTGCACATGCAGCGACACGCCACAAACAGCAAGCTTTCCGTGGTTGCAGATTGGCTGCCATCGGGCAAGCGGACACTTGGTCCGCTACAAAAAGACGGGAAGAGCGGGCTGATATCTTGATCCGTCAGGCATTTCGTTTTACCGCATCTACATAATATCCCGAAAGAACAACGCTTTTTCGACCAACAACGACCACTAACGATTTCTGCTGCTACAGCGAGGACGACGACTGTTATTATTCCTTCTGCTACTATGACTACGACGACGCTGTCGACTTCATATACATCTATCAAACAGCTTAACACTGTTTGCATGCTGCATGCCTTTCGATCACTTGCATGCCACTGCCACCATCTCATAGCACCTGTTGCCCCATTGTGGCCACCGGCACTACCGAAAGCGCAAGCAAGAAGGCGAATGCTGAGACGTGCCAACTTTCGCTTCATGGTAGTATTGGGGGTTGCTCTTGCTGCCATGCTTCCCAGCCCACGGTACAGGAGCCTGTCTGGCAGAAACAATGCCTGGTAGACGGCCGGTAGCCAGCCAGCGCAACGACGGGGGCAACAGTCGTCCAGCAGCCAGTCGGTGTGAGCACTCGCCACCACTCCGTCCACAAAAGTTCCAGTGAGCGTGTCGGGATTGAACACCCCCCACAGGCAAGCTGCAGTATACCCCTCGTAACGATTTCGGCCAAAGATCGCCATGGACCTCCACCCAGATGAAGTGCCCTGGACGCACGTCCTCTGCTACTCAAAGGTGTTTCAGCTGGAGGTCGAGCGGCCTGGACAGGCCACAAACTTCTTGCTGGACACCCGCATCCGGCCAGAGCCAGTGTAAATCCAGTGATACATTGTGGTCTCGCTTGGGTTTGCGTGGCCAAAGAAGTACATATCATCGGAGCATATGCGACCTCTCCGATCCGCAGACAACACCCGGTCCCCCGCGCAAAATTGGGACTGCTGAACCCGGAAATTCCTCTCCGGACCGGTACAACTATTACTGAACATAACGAAGCATTATTATTATTACTACTACTACTTTACTAGTACGGCTGCCATTATTATTACTATTATTGTACTGCTACGATAATTTTGTGACTCTTTGAAAATTATTCTATGAAGATATATTTCTATAGAAAATACAAATAATAATATATATATATATTCTTTTTTATTATATAATTGCTTTAATAATATAAAAATACACTCATATTTATATTTATATTATTAAGTATATCTATAAAATTCAATTTATATTTTATTTGAAAATATTTATATAGATATATTATTATATTTTTTGTTATGTCGCGATATGTACGCACTACGATAGTTGAGATAATTTATTGACTCCACTTGAGATTTATAGGCGTCTTCTTATTTCTATCTAGTGGTTTACCGAAATAATGAATATTATTTCCGATCTTATATGTAAGATCCCGGCAATAGAGATATAAATAAGACGTCTCATTATTTCTGAAATTATAACGATATAATCGAATAGAGAAGATCGATTCCAGAAAAAAATTGAATATGACAAGGAAATCTCTTTAGATTAATAGACAAGGGAAGATTAAGATTTCTGATTTTTTCCTCCTTCTGATCTATAGTACACAATATGGGTCAAATTCGCTTGATCCATATCGAGAATTTCATATTTTCAAATTATTCGTATATCGAAACCGGCTTTAGATCGCGAATCTATCGAATCCAATTTCAGCGATTCATCTGTTTCTTTATCAGGATGATCTATCTATCGAAAGGTTTTCTCGTCTGTATCATATTCTAAAGGTCGTATGAAAATAACGATTCGGAGCAGATATCTAAAATTAAGAAATATAAAATCCAAAGAAATCTTATTATAAAGAAAATAAATCGATCAAAAATGACATCATTATTGATTATCAAGAATAACTTGAATCCAGAAGAATATTAAAATAAGATTTTATGTCGAAGAAATAAGAAAGGAATTATATTATGATCTCAATACGAGTCATGAATTCCAATCGATTGAAATCCAAGCGAGATAATTATATGAAGAATTGGATTTCTCGATAGTTTATCTTTAATTTGAAAATATTCTTTATTCTCTTTTTTTGCCCGTATTTATAGAAATCATAAATTCTTATCATTAATGAATTTTGGATATCTTTTTTCTATGATTTTTTGCCGAATAAATACAATCATTCATTATGAAATTTCAATCATATAAGAATAACAAAAAATCAATAATAAAATTATATCTATTTCAATATTAATATTAGCAATATTAATCTTAATTCGAAAAGGATTAAAAAGAAAAAATAATAATCTTAAAATAATAACCGAACTCATCATAATTAATTCATTAATAATATAATTATATTAATAGAAAATAAATATAAATATACGAAGAAATAATAAGAATAATTTAAAAGATAAATAGAATATTAATAATATCAATAGCAATATTTAAAACAAAA